TAGCATCCTCTCTGAAAATCTCGCTAACATTATGCATTCGAAATTACGAATAAAATCCTCAGATACTCATGTTTTTCTATCGAAAGTTTACACTGTATTAGCATTACTCTGTCTCAATAAACCTTCTTACCGCAATATCCAGGTGCAGTTTTCATCCGCAGTGAAGATTCTACTTTTTAACATCTTAAAAGTCTTGGTAACAAGCAGAAATGATTTAAATGTAAGAATCGTTATGGAAACCTCGTTGTTTATAGGGAATTAACAAAAAGATTTTGTATTTTTATCTGTGTAAAAAGCATTTTAGAAAGTTCTACCGAATGCCCTACGAAGAAGAAGAATGTCGTATCCGTAGCTCTTGCTATTGCGAGAGAGAGCATTTTGTCTTTGACGACGATCACGATTGTTTTGCTTTTTCATTTATTGTAGTAGTTCCCAACGTTTTAGTCAATGCTCGATGGGCACAGAACGGAGTGACCGTCGCTGGAGGTCATGGAGTCGGTAATCCCACCAATCAGCTCAACTATCCTCGTGGTCTATTCGTTGGTGATGATCAAACGATCTTCATCGCTGACACGCAGAATAATCGTATCATCAAATGGAAGATGGATCATACGAATGGAAAAGTGGTAGCTGGTGGCCATGGCGAAGGAAATCAATTGGATCAACTGAATTGTCCAGCCGATGTATTAGTCGACAAAGAGACGGATAGTCTCATTATTTGTGATCGTGGAAATCAGCGAGTCGTACGATGGTCTTGTTGTGGGGATACCCCTCAAGGAGAAATTCTCATCGATAACACCAAGTGTTTTGGATTGGCCATGGATGATCACAGATATATCTACATCTCAAATACTGATACACATGAAGTAAGACGATATCAAATAGGAGACAAAAATGGAACTGTTGTTGCTGGTGGCAATGGCAAAGGTAATAATCTCCGTCAACTCAACTTTCCGACATATCTCTTCGTTGATCGCGAACAGACTGTCTACGTATCAGACAACTACAATCATCGTGTTGTGAAATGGAGTAAAGATGCAAAAGAAGGGATCGTTGTCGCTGGTGGTCAAGGCCTCGAAGATTCTCTGGCGCAATTGTCGTATCCTCACGGATTGTTCGTTGATATGTTGGGTACTATCTATGTGGCAGACTCATCGAATAATCGAGTGATGCGTTGGCCTAAAGGAGCAAAGCAGGGCACTGTCATCGTAGGTGGCACTGGTCTAGGAAAAGGAACCAATCAGCTGCACGAACCCGTGGGTTTGTCCTTCGATCAGCAAGGCAATCTCTATGTGACCGATCGGCGGAATAATCGAGTTCAACGTTTTTCTATTGAATGGACTTGAAACGACGATTAATGTCATTCTACTTTTCTTCAAATAAATCACATTGAATTGATGAAAGAAATCTTTATTCTTTTCTCGCTCATGTACGACCAGGAATCACTCTGGTGAAACCGTGGTGAGCTTGATGCTCATGCACGCACATGAAGTAAGGGTGTGGGTGAAGTCGGGTGTGTGCATGGGTGGAAAACCCACACGCACAAACACGTCCACTATCTATAACCCATACCACACTCATCCGCTCATCAACACGCATAGGCACTTTACTGAAAACTCCACTTCAATGGAAGGCATATTTCTATATTCAGGTCACTAAACGTGTATATTTCTGCATAGTTAATTAAATTGCATTCAAAAGAGTTTGATAGTGTGAGTGTGAGTGTGAATATGCAGCTCCTGTCCGCAGCGACAATCATTGGCACACTTTACTCTCTGACATTCATACTCATATCCACATCAACAGCAAACTTCAAAAATATCTTATGAACGATAGAAAAAGACGATCTTCCATTGAAAGCAACTGCTTTTTTGTATGGATCAAAAGTGTGGAGTGCACATTAGACAATAGAACTTTATGAGCTCTATTACTGGAGAAAATATCAAGGCATTCAATTATTGCTGCATAAAACGCGCTCGACTGACATTTTGCTAACAAAATGTCAAAAGAATAAAGCCAAGCTCTATTTAGAGTATCAATATATTTTATATTGAATTGAAGAAAATTTCTGAAATTTTTTAAGTTGTAATAGAAATCACTAACACACAATGATTAAAAGAGTATAAAGTGAAAACTTCTTTATTTTGAAAGTTCACAATCATTCTCTCGGAGAAAATACGTAACAAAAATGATCAAAAACTCAGAGAATTCTCAGGTACTACCCCATCGTGAATTCTTCATTTTGTCGAAAACTTACTCTGTGGCGGTTTCGATAATTCATTTTAAAACAAACTCATGCAAGAAAAGAAAAAAATTGATAAGACGATTGAAACGTTTTTTTTTCACGAAAGTATTCGCTCCTGTGTATATTTCACTTCTTCATATCTTTATTAATATTTGTCATATACAAACACATGCGCAATATAATCATTAGCAAAAAGCACTCAAAGAACAAGATAAAAAAATGGCAGAATCCTTATCAATTATATCGCTCAAAAATTCAATATCTCGAGACTTCACCATCTTTTTTCGCAACTACTCCTAAGTTAACATAGTTTTTCTTTTATTCAAGAAAATCTTCTTTTTGCTTTTATCAAAACTCATATCAAATCTTAATTTACCATAGAAGCATCGATACATGGCCTCTACAACACGAAAGAAACGGCCCTGCTCAAAATGCGACAAAGCAGCGGGCATATTTACTTGCTTCGGATGTCAAAAAGATTTTTGTTATCGTCATGTAGCTGAACATCGACAAGAACTTAATAAACAAATGGATGAACTCACTACTAATCATGATCAATTACAACAAACAATTGTCGAACAAGAAGCACAACCAAATTGTCATCCTCTTATACAAAAGATCAATGAATGGGAACAAGAATCAATCAATAAAATTCATCGAGCAGCTGATGATGCTCGCAAACAATTATTAACTATTCTTGCGACACAAAGAAGTAAAGTGTCAAATGATTTAACTCATCTTATTCAAGAATTGAGCGAAGCACGTAATCAAGATGACTATGTAGAAATAGATTTGAAAGAATGGATGAAAAGATTAAGTGAGTTACAAAAAGATTTGAATGCAGCTCAGTCGATTGATTTTGGTACAGACAATAATGATAGTGCATTGATTTCAAAGATTTCTATTAAAGAAATTTCAACTGACTTTTTCTCACGAATCATTGGCGATATCCAAATTATAGAAAATGGTAGGGTCGTTGTTCATGGTCAAACCTATCAAAATGCTGCAGCATGTGGCACAGGTGAATATTCATGAGGACAACATCAGTTTTATTTTAAAATTAAGCAATTATCTGATATGAACACTTTTTCGTGTGGTATTTTATCAAAAACTACGCCTCTACAGGCACTTATAAATGTCGCAGTGAATAGTAATATGTCTAGATCCAGATCTATAAAAACGGACCCTTATAACATTCCCAATGAAAATGGACTTCTTTATTTTTCTGGTTTCAAATTATAACTATTCACAAAACGATATTCTTGAGCTTCTTATCGATTGTGATCGACGAAAAATACGTTTAAGTAATCAGCGAACACAACAGAAACAAGAACTCAATGTAAGCTTGAATACATGTCCGTTTCCTTGGCAATATTTCGTCATACTTTACAATGTCAATAATCGTATTCGTATTTGCGAAGGAAATGTGCCTGTCAATAGTTTCAACCAAATAGACTTCTAATATTCATGCTTCATTATTTCTAACAAATCATTGGTTTGTTTTTGCTTCATATTTATTATGAAATAAACTTTTATAATACTTTTGAATATTAAACTACAATTAAATCATTATGTGAAGTTCGAAAAATATCATTCCTTGAAACAACGTAAAACTCTTTTTGAAATCGGAACAACATGTTATAACTGCTATACAATTTTATCCGTGTTTTTCCGTATTTTTATAGGCTATATAAGAATATGGATTTACTTGGTTTCTCTCAAACTTTAAAAGATAGACAAAAATTTAAGTTAAAAAGACTGTTAATTGTTCACAATAACAAACGAAAAAAAATTAATACTCTTCATAAACAGATCAATCGAGAGGTGAAGACATGTTGAAGTATCATCTACACTAAAGATATAATTAAGATTTTAACGAAATCAACGTTTATTTGAAATAGTTGATGCAAAAAGAAACAGCGGTAGTTTTTAATTCTATTCTCATACCGTCGTTTTGTAAAAAGACAGTGCCATCTGTTGTTCTGACAAGATGGAATATTACCATTATTTTTTGTCTTTTCTTTTTCTTTTACCTTGTCATCATTCGTTCTCGCTCAACCCTATATATATGAACTTTAATGACTTGTTTGTTGGTGTTATTGTTGATTTTATTTCTATTTTTATAGTTTTAACTACTCATCGTTTATTTACTTAAATAAATTAGATAAATACACTGAAACTTAGATATAATAGAATATTGTGATTATACACATATGAAGTCATTCAGAGTAACTTCTATTTACAAAAAAAAAGAACACTAGTTTAAAAGTATCTGACTAGAGAAAAAAAATTGAATCTGACAATTAATTTATTTATTTATAAGAAAAGAAATGTATATACGCATTGAATGGCAACGAGACAAATACGTTCGAAAAGTTTACTTCTAAGAGTTTAATTTTAATAGACGTACAATAGAATTTTATTTGAATTTGATAAAAAGTCAATATAATACTCTCTAGACCTATTTTATTCAATGCGCTAACATTATATATCATTCAATATAAGATACATCATAAGTTTTTAATTATATACATTAAAATATTATTAGAAGTTCTACAAAAGTATTGTTTTTTAGAGCACAAGTTATACGTATAGCTTTTCAGAACTTTGACATTATTATTAATATAAAATGTTATTCTTTTGTTACGTAAGTAAGTCTAGGTATCTCATGATCTCTCTATGAATCCATACAATGTTTTCTAAATTGTCATAAGAAATATATACATATTGCAATTAATAACAATGTCTTTTAGATATGGCAAACGCAGCAGAAAGAAAGACACTATGCTCAATATGTGAAAAAGCAGCTGGCATATTTACTTGTCGTGGATGTCAAAAAGATTTTTGTTATCGTCATGTAGCTGAACATCGACAAGAACTTAATAAACAAATGGATGAACTCACTACTAATCATGATCAATTACAACAAACAATTGTCGAACAAGAAGCACAACCAAATTGTCATCCTCTTATACAAAAGATCAATGAATGGGAACAAGAATCAATTAATAAAATTCATCGAGCAGCTGATGATGCTCGTAAACAAGTTATAACTATTCTTGAAATGCATAGAACACAAGTAATACATGATTTGACATGTCTTACAGAAAAGTTAAGCGAAGCTCATAAGGCAGATGATTATGTTGAAACAGATTTGAAAGAATGGATGGAAAAACTTGACAAATTAAAAGTTGATTTGAATGCATTTCAAACGATCGATTTCAGTGAAGACAATAATAAAAATGCATTGGTTTCAAAAATTTTTATCAATGATGCATCAACTGACATGTTTCATCAAACCGTGGGCGATATTCAAATTATTGAAGATGGAAAGGTTGCAGTGCATCTTCTAACAAATGGCCATGCTGCAGTACGATGTAGAGGGGAATATTCATTGGGAAAACATCGATTTCATTTTAAAATTGAAGGATTGAATAATCCTCATAGTTTTTCTTGTGGTATCGTATCAAAAAATACACCTACGGATTCAATTTACATGACATCGGTTAATAATAATATGTATGGATGTGGCATTAGCCTTGTAACTCAGAAATATCTCAATCATAACGTCCTTGTTTGCTTTACCGGACAAAATCATTATTTTCAAACAAATGTAACATACGAATTTCTAGTTGATTGTGATGAACAAATAATACGTTTAACAGAAGGACAATCAGGCAACACAAGGGAACTCAAAGTTAACTTAACTACTTGTTCATTGCCTTGGCAGGTTTTTATCGGATTGTTCAGTGCCAATGATTGTGTTCGTCTCTGCTAACATCTTTATTTAATAAGAAGAGACAAATATTCATAAGTATTGATATGTGCTCCCTATAATATATTTTAATCATATTTTATATTATTAAGTTGTCTTCAATGTAGTTTTTTTTTGTAAAAATAAAATATCAATATTTCTTTTAGTCTCTAACATTCAATTATCCAATTGTAACAAAATAGATTTTTAACACTCAATGATTTTATAGTTATGTATCATTACATAAAAATGTATTTCGTGCAATAAAAACGTTTTTTTCTGATACAGTAAAGTGAATCTTTTTTACATCAACAGTTGATCAAAAGAAATTGGAATAGGCCTAGTTTCTTTTAAAACTAATGTTGTCTCAACTTTAATTGAAACATGTATTAGTGGATGTTACTATAAATTATCTTTAATAGAATACTTATGAAATTCCAAAGTATAAATCTCTAGATATAGTCACACACATTGATTATTATCATGATAACTTAAAAGAAGGTCAACAATTTCCCATATACTTTTCATTTTAATAGATTCATAAATAGCCTCATATTCATATTAAAAAACCTATAGAAAGTTCAATAATGTTAACCTTCCCTTTATGAGAGCTTCCAAATACTCCTAACTAGCAAGAATTATATGATCTAATCTTAAGATGTATCAAATAGCAATTTATTAAATAATAAATAAATGTATATACAAATGTCTTTATCACTTTCATCTTGTACAATAGATTGAAGAAGGCATCAAGAAAGAAATTAGATTATGCCACACCATTATCAAAAACGACAGATTTATCTTTCTGAGGTAAACTGGCAATAGCTGATTCGTAGGCTTCATCAAGATCAGTATGAAAGAGTGGTCGATTAATATCTAGAATGGGAACAAGTACAACAGATGCATTGTTTGCACCACCATCAATATTGCCATGTACATTTGCTACAGAAAAAACTGAATGTCCTTGTTCAGATGAACCAAATCCAGCTGAAATAAGTGCACGTTTTAACCAAGGACGTGATAAACCGACAAAGTGCCAATTAACTTTTTTATCTGCATAATGATCTAATTGTCGACGAACATCAACAAGAGTTTGTAGACCAGTTATATCTAAATGAGCAACACCACTAAAGTCTAAAATTAAGGCATGTAAATATGGACGTTGATCATCTTTCTGTTGATTCTTTTCTGGATGTCGACTTGTCTTCAAATTCCACGGTTGTTCACCAAGTGAACCATATAGATTAGCTTTACCTTGTTTTGTTTCACGAAAAATTTGTTCAACCATAAGTTCAACATAATGATTGGCATTTGGATAGAGAAAACTTTCATTCAATCTATAAATAAAGATACCGTTACCAGATGATACAGGAATAATTGTTGGATTTGATCCATCAGAATGATCAAGTGGTACATAAATATTTCGAGTTGTTAAATGAATATAATTATTAATCGATAATTTAACTTGTTCAACTTGAACTCGACCAACAAATTGACCACGAGCTTTAGCAATACGAAAAAGTAGTAGAACACCAGAGGAAATAATTGTTGTATAAATACCGATTTCAATCGAAGAAAATATTGTTACAATAACTCCAATCCAAAAGATAAAAAATTCAATTGGACTTACTTGCCAAAAAACTTTTAATGTTTGTGGTCCAGCAATAAGATCACCAACAGCATGAATAATAACTGCTGCTAGACTAGCTTGTGAAATCCAATAGAACATTGCTGGTAAAGCATAAATACCTAGAATAATTAATGCACCACTAACTACACCAGCTAGCGGTGTTCGTACACCTGCTTTAGACTTAATGGCTGTTCGTGAAAATGAACCTGTCGCTGGATAGGCACCAAAAAATGGTCCAAATATATTTGTTACACCAATAGCAATCAATTCTTGATTAGGATCAATAACATAATTATTAATTCGACCAAATGATTTAGCTATAGCAACATGTTCAATAAGAAGAACAATAACTGTTGATGGTAGATATGATAGAAAAGCACTCAATAATGATCGATCAATATAGGGTACGCCCATATTTTGAAAACCACGTGGAACTGTGCCAAGTAGAGTCGTTCGTGGATTTTTTGGATTATGACGATTGATTAACCACGAAATAAAAAGATAGAGAAGAATAACAAATACAGCACGAAGTGTACTAATAAAAAAAAATAATTTTTCTTTCGTTGGAAAACGTTTACTTGCACGAAGACAAATAAAACGAATTAAATAAAGTAGAAAGAGTGATGTTAAACCGAGTGCAGCATTTAAATTACAATGTGAAATTTGCTTCCAAAAATTATAAAAAACTAAATAAGTTGATTCACGTGTATCCAAATATTTATTATTACCCATTAGTGCTGGTATTTGTCCCATAGCAATATTCAATGCTGATCCAGTCATAAATGCTGCTAATGCTGGTAGAGGAATGAAATCGACTATAAAACCAAGACGAAACATACCAAGAGCACAAACAATACAACCAGCAATAAGAGCTAAAGCCGATGCGATAGTATGTAATTCATATCCTGGATATTCTTCATGTACAGCTTCTACAACACTACCTGTTAATGCTGACATAACTGCCACTGGTCCGATACTGATATCCTGCAAGTAAATGAGGTCGTTTTGGAAAAAAAACAAACATAGAGAAAAATCAATTGTTCATTGATGTTGGATTAAAATTTCTTACTACTATCGTTGATATGATTTTGCCTAATTTTCTTTTTTTGTCATTATTAACGAAATAATAAGAATGAGTCTTGTGTTATATTGAGATTGGTGAAGTAGAAAATCGTACTGATACCATAAAAATTGATTGGAAAAGCAAAAAAAAGCTGAATTATTCATCAGCTCATTTTATAATTAATTTTCTATCAGTCGATAGAGAAACGTTGATTCTTTCTTCGAAAAGAAAAAAAATCACTGCTCTAAAATATGTATATATAACTCAAATTATGAAACAAATAGTAAAAGTGTTGTTTTTTTTTTCGGTAGAATTAGGATACCTGACTCTATTTCATTCACCTTGCTAGTAGCAAAAAGCCAATAAATCATCACTCCAACAAATGAACTATACAAGCCAAATTGTGGTTGTAATTTAGCCAATCCAGCATAGGCCATACTTTGTGGTATCACAATAGCACCAACAGTTAAACCAGCAATAAGATCTCCCCAAAACCAGGTTAAATTATATCGATAAATCCAATTTATAAATGGTAAATAGGAGAGAAAATAATTCTTGATTCGTTGTTTAGGATTATTTATTTGACCTTTCAGCCAACTTTTAACAGTTGGATATGGTTCAAAATATTCATGATGAGTAACAATTCTGATTCGACTTAATGATGATGATGGAGATGCTGTTATAGATAATTCATTAAGTGTCAATGTATTTTGTGTATGTCCAACCATAATTTTACGTTGTCTATAGAGATCCCAACGTACGAACACAATCAATGCAAAGAGAGAAAAAAAACAAACCTTTACCTTATTCGATAGCAACTGATGAGAAGTAAAGTTTCGCAAACGTCTCATATATGAGGACAAGTCATTCGTTGAATTAGTTGTAAAAATCTCGATAAAAAAATGTGCACGCATGAATCATTATATATTTTTTACTTTAGGTGAAACAGTATGCAGGTAATAATGTAAATTACATCACATAAATAGAAAGTATCATATGCTGTCATTATTTGTGTCCTTGCACATTTTTTTTATTGCTATTCAGATTTAGGCATATGTGTATTTTTTCTTGCGTAGTCATGCGAGACAAAAGCGATGGACATATAACAATTCAAATATTGTTTATACAATTATTTGAGTAAATTGGAAAATAATGGCACTTGAATATTTCAGAGAAACAATGGATGACATAAAATAGAGTCTATTTGACGAAGTATTATATTTTGGTAGGGGTGAGAAAGTTATTGTTATTTTTTTATTATTAATAACAATAACATTAGCCTTTTGATTCAAAAAAAATCAATGAAACAAATCTAAGCATAGTTCGTACGAACGTCAAAGGATCACTTTATTCATACAGTATCTTTTCCTACCATTTGATATAAGAACTTGTCGCAAAGATTTTGAGAAACAGTAACACAACATAATTGGTTATTGTTATTGTTACATAGCAATAACAATAACAAATTACGTTATTTTAGCATTTCTCATAATATTTACGGCAAGTTCTCATATCTAATGGTAGGAAAAGATACTATATGAATAAAGTGATCCTTTGACGTTCGTACAAACTATATTGAGACTTATTTCATTGATTTTTTCGAAAAAAAACGTTAATGTTATTGTTATTAATAACAAAAAAATAACAATAACTTTCTCACCCCTATATTTTGGTGATCTATTACAAAGGTTGATCTATTTCTGTTAAGAATACGGATTAATAAAATAGAAGGCAAATAAAGATATGCAGGCAATTTATGTTTTCTTTTTTTATAAATTCGACTTGAAAGTTGTACAATAGAAAAAAAAACAACTCGTTTGTGATTATTCAACAACATGGAGAAAATAGTTAATTTTGAATGAAATCATTTGGAAAACAAAAAATTGTAATATAGACTGAAAATAATGTTTCACATTAGATTTTTCTTGATAAAGTACCTTTGATTCAATTGAAATCTTTTTCACAATTAATCAAAAACATACCAATTTATTTCTTGAAGAAGAAAAAAATCTTCAACCTGCTATAAATGTTTCAATAATTTGGATTGTAGGAGGACAAAAATTAGATCAAAATTTTGTAAAATGATATAAGCTTGTAAAGAATTTAATTCTCTACACAATGATATGTTGCAATGCCCGATAAACATTAAGTAAGACCACAAACTAGAGTTCATTTTATAATACAGAAAGGAAAGAAAAGAATGTATAAGTCGTCCGTGTTGGATGATAGAACGAACATGTTCTTTCCTATAGTGAACGATAGACCTGAAAAGCTATGGTTTTATCCTCCTATTGAAGCAAAACGGTTTATCAGGCACTACAACATATCATT